GGCAACAATCTTGACCTTGTCGACCTTCACCAGGTCGGTTACCTCCCTGAACTCCACATCGTTCAGAACAAACGTCCACACGTTGTCACAGAACCGATAGGTGTTCAGAGAGCCCTGGAGGATGCAAACACGAGTGAAAACAGCACAGAACAGAGAGAGGCAGAGGTCAGGGATCACAGGAAGTGGAGGTGGACTTACCCTGAAGTTGACTCTGTTGCGGACTCTGTTTGCAAGTGCCGTGTTGATGGCTTTATCAAACTGTAGCAGGACCTGAAGAGCCAGCTGAGGAGTGATCTGTTGAGTCTGAACACACAACATCTAACAGTCATGCATATTCACACAGAGAATGTTGTACATTTTACATGCAGCAGCTCAATTTCTGAACCCAACAGATAGAACTGCAGATGCACCTGGAACACCTGCTGAATCTCTGCACACAACAGAACTGGAAAAGCAACGGTTAGGCGTCAGTTACATGTTGAACATGTTTCTGGTAGGTGCAGTGACTGTCATCACTGTAGTGTTAGCAGGTTTGTTCTGCTCCATGCAGGGGCTCATTGAGATGCTTTAATTTCTTGGTGCAGTGGGAATCTAGAGATATTCTTCCATTATGGAAGGTTCTATTTTCAGTTCCCTCACTAAAAAACATCCAATGTTTGCTCTGCAGGTGTTACTGCTTTCATGAAGTGATAACATTTTAGATGCTGAATTAAAAATAAAAAAAAAACATCCAATGTTTGCTCTGCGGGTGGTTTTTGTTAGTGCTGAAAAAATATTGTGTTAAGTTAAAGAAACCATGTTCTTCGGCTGTCCTGAGGTAGAGGACTCACTGCAGGTATGTCTGTGCACGGCAGTACTCCTGCAGCTTTAGCCATGTGTGCTATATGCACCAGACACGTTAATGTGATGGTGTGGTAGATAAACTGAGATTAGATGTCGAAATCGGTTTCGGGGGAAAAGGGTGGATTGGTGAACAATCGAAATACGTGAACGTTCAGTAAAATGATGTTTCATCCCTAACCTGGACCGTTTCCACTCTTGAACTAAATCTCAACTTCAGGGCTTGGCAGATGCATTATATAAAACTGCTTTAACACAATATCATCAGTCCTGTTTGAGGATTTAAAATAAATTAATCGGGAAGATACAAAATAAAGCTGTGGGCTGATACTAATGTTAACTTCAGTAGTTAATTTGGTATTCATCTGTTTAGGCTAATTAACCGAGCTAAAAATTATTTTGTTTTCTGTTTACTTACATGAGCTAACTTTAAACAGTTTGCTAATGATCTACACCAGCTAATAACTACAGTATTTAACACTACAGAAGAATTAACTTGTTTACCTGAAATTAATCAGCACTGAAACAGACCCTAGCTAAAGCTAGCTAAAATTAGCCCGCTAACTGCTAGCTAACTGCAGTCATTCACCGCCGCTTATGCAGTTAGCAACACGCTAATGTAGGTTTTAGGTAAGTGTCACCTGTATGAGCTCATCCAGACTCTCCTGAAGACTGTTTCCCAGAGTGGTATTCCTGTACAGCTGGTACGCCATGATAGAAACTACTGGGAGAAATAGCTACAGTAAACTAGTCTACAAACACATACACAGCTAACGGACCTAGCCGCTTCCCTCCACAACAAGAAGCCGTAGCCACTCAGACACGTCCGGTTAGATACGCCAAAATAAAAATCTGTTTACATGTGTTTTATATTACTGTTTAACGTAACGCTACACATAGTTGGGTATTTAAGACAAAGTGCATAAAACAACAATACAATAAAACTAAACAACACACATCATCAGCATTACAGAAAAGTATTTTAAAAAAAGTATGAATCAATTGATTAACCAATCAGTCGAGGCTAAACGCCAAGTCACCGCCATGCCGCTTCCAAGCTGTCAAAAAGTACCTCTGGCTTCACACCAATCAAATCATAAGAGCACCAACATCAGCGTTAGCTATTTGGATTTCACTGATAGCAAAATTAGCAGCAATTGTAGTTATGGAGGGTGGAGAGGTTTAGTTAATAAAGCTAATCTACTACTAACGTTATTACTACTACAGCAACCTAATTTAAATCTGCTGGCGTGCCAACACCAATAAAGCTGCGTACGGAGAGATATATACAAAGGAATTGGACTGAGAAAAATTAGGTTATGTCCACACGGAGTTGCTAGCTAGAAGCGCTTAACTTAAAAAGCAGTTTTGCTGACTCTTGTCTTCGTGTTGATAAGGATCCGTACAGGCTGTGGGCAGGACAAACTTGTGCCCCTAGCCAAAATGTCCAACTTGACTTGTGGAGAACCTAAGATCAGTGGGAAACTCTCTGACATGGTTATTGACCACTTCTATACCATGAAAGACCGGACTTCCTCTGAAAGGTGAGTGACCCGCATATCCTCTTCTCTCTATGAGGGTTTACTGTTTATTTATTGACTGAGTTGCCCATGTAGCTATTTGTGCCATGTTTGATGTAGTTATATTGTTTATTGCGCCTTCATTGACTGTATTTAACATTTACTGTAGTTTTATTGTGGTTGTTTAACGTCACACACAACATAAGAACCCACAGGGCCAGGCCTCCTGAACAGATTGTGTAACCTCTGCAGGTCTGGTACTGGGTTGTTAATCTCTAGGTTTTGTACAATAAACCTTTGGCCTAGTTTTAAACCGATGATGTACTGAGTATATTTATCTATGTCACGCACATACATGGGCGATTGTAAACCATGTATCTGAAAAATGTGGCCTACTGAGTCTTTATGATGGGAATTTGTGTGTGTGAGTGAGTGAGTGAACGTGCGTGTAGGAAAACGCAAGTGTTAGCTAGATTGTATGTGTCACTGTCGCATCTGTATGATACAGATTTGTATAAAATGGCATCCGGCGCTGTAATAGTTCTTCAGGTTGTTGTAAAACCACTAATAGAATCGTATATGCCTTTATTTTGAAAGGCACGTCTCGTTTCCTGGTTTGATTCTTGCTAACCCGATTGAATCTACGGATGGCGAGAAGGAACGAAACATCGTCAAACCTGACGTTTACGTTTCATTGTGTTATCTCTCCGTTTTACTTATTTAAGCTTTTTGTTATTGTCATTGTATCATTGTGACACGTACAACAAAATTTTGCCTGAAGCCGAGGGCCCCGGGCCGCTGCGTGCATACGCAGCCGCCATCACGTGCAACTTGGGGGTTCAGTGTCTTGCCCAATGACACTTCGATATGTGGACTCCAGGCACTGAGGTTTGAACATTAAACCTTCCGGTTGGGAGACGACTGCTCTACCCACCGCATCACTGTCGCCCCAGAGTTTTCTCACTTCCCAGAGCTTTTTTTAAATCCCTTCCCTAGTTCAATCAGTTTACACTAAACACCAACCAGGCATAGTTGTCTGTTCACCATTTACAGTATTTATTGTACTGACTCAAACTGTGACGGTACAGTTCGAGGATCTTTAGAAACCTAATTTCCACTAGATGGCAGCAAAACCAACAGAAAAACAAGAAAGCTGCTTCCCATCTTCATCATCGAGTCTCTCTTTTTATGTCTTGCATGTGCATCCACACAGGCACCCTGTATGTTTTAGGACTGTCTATTATTACAGACTTTTTAAACAACTTAAAATAACTTTCATTGACCACGGGACACACGATGATGCAGGCACTGTAATACAACTATAGGGTACAGGTATGGACTGACTGCTGACTGAAAGGCTCTGCAGCTTTGTGTGTTTTGTTATAAACATATTGATTTGTCAAACTGTTACTGGTTACCTCACTTTGTGACAGTACAAAAGGTTAAAGTGTTCTTGTTTAACATGCACTCACACAGTGTAAAAAATGATGTGCTTTGCATGTTTCCTGCAAGTCTGTGCCAAAAGAGAAACAGCATATCATTATAATAATGCCCATTTGGCAAAAAATACACACCTGAGTGAATGTTTGTGTTGCACTATAACAAACCAGATGTAGTTGACTCTTGCTTCCTTCAGATTCTGTCCACGGTGACGCCGTTTTCAGCCTGTGGAGCTGACAGACAACGCAGTCTACGGCACAGAGTGATGAGCTGAACAAGGGTCTGGACTCGCACATATTACTGTGAGGACACCACCTTCACTGGTGCTGCTAGTCTCTGGATGCGGTTTTTGGGGAATAACTCAAACGAACAAAGTCAATGGTTTCATCCTTCAACTCCTCGGCGTGTGAAGGCAACAAACGGCCTCAGATTTCCTCTCAGACTGGAGTTAAACCATCTCTGCTGCTGCAAGCGTTTCTGTGTGATGGATGGCGTCTGTTAACGTTGCGAACGGCTGTTTGCTAATGAACAGATCTGTTTAGCCAGCCGCTGCTGTGACCTCTGACCCCGCCCAGTCTCCACGCTGAAGACAAAAACACAGCAGCGCTCGGTAAATATAGACCAGGATGGAAAATGCAATTATATCCTGTACAGGGAGGGAGTGAAGTGATTAAAAATGATGTAGAGGGAAAAGAAAGCGCTGGTGTTGGAGTGTTTTAGATGCTCAGTCTGTGTTAGCACAGGAAGGACTGATGATGATGGATTCACCAAACAGGAAGCTTCATTCACTCCTGTGTTTCTATCTTTCTTTCACTCGTGCGTTTGCCTTAACGTCATGAGTCCGACTTATGGCACAAGAGTTGCTTCAAGATCACAGCTTCAACTTCAATCATCATCTTAACATACGAATGTTTTATCTTAGGGCTAAAGCCAAACTCATCCAGGATTTTTTTAGGCCCATATGATATGTGAGAGTCCATGTGTTTGGTCTGTATATGCTAAAGTTTCTCTCACAGTGCGTCAGACCTGATGTGACCTGATTCCTCTCCGACCTCTGGCAGTGCAGTGCCGTCAGAACGGTCATATCAGAATCCATGTGGTCATTTTAACGTCTCCTCTTTTGCACATACGGCCTGTCGTCATCATTTGGCATCGGCCCCTCACAGAACAGTAACAGTAAACATGGAGGAGAGTGGCAACAGTGACGGGGTCAGTGGAGACACCAGGACGTTTAACATGTGGTGGACGTTTATGGAGAAGCTTCTGATCAGGCAAAACTGGGAGGAACATATTGAAACCCAGTGGTTTGGGAGGAAACTGGGCCATTTGACCGCCGTGAACACCTGGTTGTTATTTTTGTGCACACGTGGCTCACATTTCAGTTACATCTGTGCTCTTGTGGCAGTTTAGGAGCTCAGCGGTGTCGGGTACATGGCACTGACACACACGGATGGGAAGCAGCGACACAAAGATCAGAGCTGGCTGAGACATCAGAGCTGAGCATTAAGGCCTGTGAGTGTTTCCCATCAGTCAGCGGGGTAATGACCTCTGACTGGCCCGGGGATACATCAGCAAACCTTTGTCTGTCAAACCACCGCTGCTTCACAGTTTCATCTGGTGAGTAGTGTGATTGATAAAGCTCATAGAGCAGCAACATGAAGTTATTTCACTGCCCCAGTTTTAATAACCAGTTGTTGTTTTGTATGGACATGTCACAGGAGACCGTCGTCCATAGACTGAACTCTTTCTTGTTGTGTAGTGATGAAAGGCAGGAAGGTGCGTTTGTACAGCAGTAGAACATACTGTAAAACCAGATGCTTCAGATGGCCGCGAGTCTTGAGGATCAACTCATTTAGCCAAAGCTTCATCTTGACAGACTCATGTTGTGTTGTTGTTGAAGCCACAGAGCTGTGTAACTAAGGTGCCGAGGTAATGCAACTGTGAATCACTGTTAACCACGAGCTGTCTCTGATTCTAATGTCAATATGCAGGCTGTTCATGCTGGAAAGCAACTGGATTCTGAGCAGTACTGGTGGAGATATTCTGACCTTTAGTCTAAAACACTTCCCATGATGCACCTGGATAGAGCATTGTCTTTCAAGCTCCACCTCTCCAGATTTGTTGTACAGACTTTGTTACATGTTTAATGGCCTAATAATAAGAGGGTTTAATGAAGGAAAAGTCACTTGGTGCCTCTTTGCGGTGTGTTTTGTCTTTTTTTAGTTTTGGCGTGTGAGGTTAATTAGCATGTCCTTGTGCTCATTTTGCATCTCTTTATGGCTGTTTTACATCTGTTTTTACTCCTTTTGCGTCTGTTGCTTGTAGATGAACTGCCCAGTCACTTCATACAGAGGCTCTGGTCCAGGCTCCCCGATCCCTTGGGCCCCTGGTGGACCTGTTCAGTAATCCATCTTTGGCCTTCAGGGTGTCTATGAGGGTGCTCTCATTTACATGGCTGACAGCTACACACAGCTGTTTCCTGGAGGCAGTGCAAACCCAGTGCCAGTAAGAATTATTCAATTGTTGGTTTCTGACTGGCACTATACTGCATGGAGTTAATATGTAGTAGCGTTTCAGCCAAGATTCATCACAGCTTCTCTTTTTACACCACAGAGGAAAGGCCTGTTTCTCACTTTCTCTGTTTTAACATCAGCTCCTAGAAAAACATCTGGCAGGTGATTTCTGTGGCTCATTAACAGTTGAGAGTTTAACTGTTGAGTGTTTTTCAGTGTGACGAGGTTAAACAGCTGGTTAATACGACGCTGAACGCGTGCAGCTCCGCTTCATCTCTCACTGTTATGGTAATCAGCTCATTCAATATGCACATTCAGTCCTCAGAGGCTGCACGCAATTAAT